ATAAAACAACAGTAAAATGACAGTCAAAACATTAATTTTTGTTTAATTATAATAGTCGATACTATTCATGAAAATTTTAGTTTTATTTCAGAAATACTAAAGTACATAATATTATCTCAAATATGTTAAATGTATTGCGATATACGCCTGTATATCTTGGTGGAAGTTAGTATTTAAGTAGAAAATAAAACACAACAATAATATGTTTAACACAATACTATTAAATATAAAAAACACACACAGTATAGAGAATAATATATATATATACAACGTACGTTTCAATTATAACAGCAGCCGTAATAGAATGGTAAATCCAACACCTTAAATCTATGTCTTATATACTATACAATCTAGGTTACAGTCGTAATTGGTCCTTGTATAAACAACTTAAATATTACTCATGGTTTCTTCAGTGTACACTTATAATACCATATAAGGTTATATAATATTTATTACTTATATTCCATGACCCAGATAAACAATATTAATTATATTCAATACACCCCCTTAATTAATATTCCCTTAAATTAACTTATTCTACTGTGATATCTTCTGTATTCCGATGCTTGATCGAATCATCCCAAATCTGTCCTTTGGAAGTGCTTTTGTGAAGATATCTGCCAACATTTCTTCTGTGTTTATGTATTGAACTTCGAATTGACCTTCTTCATATTTTTCACGAATGAAATGATATCGTACATCGATGTGCTTGGTTTTTCGATGAAACTCCGGATTTTTAACTAAACGAATGGTACTTTGATTATCAATGAATAATGTAGGTTTATCATACATATTATTATTAGTGAGTTCTCGTAAGAAACTTTTAAACCAAATTAGTCCTTTCGTAATGTCCGACGCTGCAATGAACTCCGCTTCCGTACTGCTAAGAGAGACCGTTGCTTGACGTTGAGCTTGCCAAGATATTGTAGATGAACCCAACATGAATAGATGTCCCGAAGTTGATCTCCTTGTTTCTAAATCTCCAGCATAATCAGAATCTGTAAATATTCTTAAATCTAAATTATTATCAGATTTATACACCAATCCATAATCAATTGTATGTTTAACGTAACGTATAATGCGTTTGACCATCGACCAATGAGCATTAGTTGGTTTTGTCAAAAATCGTGATGCAAAATTAACTGCAAATGCCAAATCTGGTCTTGTTAATTGTGACAGGAATAATAAACTTCCCACTGCTTCTCGATACGGTACTTGACCTTCTTTTAGTACTATCGAATCCGTGTGAACATCCAATGTCGTTGATTTATCAATGGGTATTGAGATATCCTTTGCATCTAACATGTTAAATCGTTTAATAATATTTCTAGAATAATTAGTTTGATTAATAAATAATGATCCATCATCTAATTTCTTAATTCCCATTCCTAGAAAATAATCTAAGTTACCATGTTTAACTTCAAATTCTTTTTCTAATTTAGACAATAATACCTGTATTTTTGTTTTATTGACTGACGCAATAAGACCATCATCAACAAAAATAGCTAAAATCAATTTTTCATTATTATCATGATTAGTGAAAACACACGAATCATATTTACTTTGATTTAAATTGAATTGCAAAAGGAAATTCTTAAACCGTGTATTCCAACACCGTGGAGATTGTTTTAATCCATATAACGACTTACGTAATTTGCAGACCCGTCCTGAATTGTCGTCATATCCGATCGGTTGTTCCATATACAGTTCGTCTTCTAACATACCATATAGAAATGCTGTACGAATGTCAAATTGGCATAATTCCAATTTCTGAGCCGCACTAATGGCTAAAATTGTTCTAATAGATTCAAATCTAACTACAGGTGAAAATGTTTCGTTATAATTTATCCCATGTATCTGTCGAGACCCGTTAACAACTAATCGAGCCTTAAATCGATCAACCTGCCCGTTACCATTGTACTTGATTTTGTAAACCCATGAATTATTTAATACTTGCTTTCCTTCTGGAATTGGCACCAACGTCCAGGTGTCATTAGTATGCAATGAATTTATCTCGTCATCCATGGCTAAAATCCAATCATTTTTATTCTGACAGCTCACTGCTTCTTTATAGTTTATTGGTTCTGTAATACACGACGTAATACATGCATATCTGGCCGGTTTACGCAATTGACCTCGATCGCGAAGATTGTAACTTGGTAGTTCTGTTGGCGTGACTTCGAGTTGTTTTTCTGGTTGTACCTCTACCGCCTGAGGTGTTTCCTCGTCGACATTATAATCTTGACTTACATTTTCGCTAAATGTTAATTCATTAGTATTTATTTCTTTTTTAAACACAACATCTCTATAATCTCTTATAGTTTTAGTTTTTGGACAATAAGCCCTATACCCACGTTTATCTAAAGAATACCCGACAAAAATACACAATTTACTTTTAGCGTCCCATTTTCGTCTCTTGGCCTTTGGAATATGAACATACATTTCTGTTCCAAATACCCTTAAATGCCTTATATCTGGTTCTTTGTTAAAATAAAGCTCATATGGACTTTTACCTTCAACAGTACTCTTACCAGTAAGATTGAGTACATACACTGATGTATTAACTGCTTCTGCCCAAAATGATAAGTCCATCTTCTTTGAATGAAGTAATGTTCGTGCTGCTTCCACAATAGTTCTCATTTCACGTTCCGCCCCAGAATTTTGCTCTGGTGTGTACGCTATTGTTTTTTCATGTCGAATGCCATATTTCTGCAAAATACTTGTTACTTCTTTAGAAACAAACTCTAAACCATTATCACTTCTTAAAGCTTTTACTTTATTCCCAGAATCATTTTTAACAGATCTTATAAATAACTCTAATTTATTTTTGACCTCATTTTTATTTTTCAAGTAAAAGACCGTCCGATAATGTGTGTAATCATCCTTGAACAATAAAAAATATTGGGACCCGCCCAGAGACATTATTTCCAACGGTCCGCATAAATCTGCATAAATTAACTCTCCGGTTTTACCCGATGTAGTCGAACGACTCTTAAATGGCTTTCTCGTTTGCTTCCCAATAACACAATCACCGCAGAAAAACTGGTTCCAATCACCGCTTACATTTATATTATGTTTTAGCAAACAAGATTTTACGTACTGTTTACATTGATGCCCAAGTCGTTCATGCCAAAGTTGAATGGAATCCGCGATTGCCGCATTCACTTCCATTTGTCCGTTACCTTGCTCGGTCAATGTCATGTCGTCGGCTATTTGCTGTACAATCTCAATGTTCATATTGTATAACCCGTTTTTGCGTTCACCAGTGCAAACGACCTTATTGTTTTTCAAAAAAATACACTTTTTACTATCTGATTCCAACTTCAAACCTTTATCTAATGCTTTGCCCGTACTAAATAAATTATACTTTAAATTTGGTACATATAACACATTAGACAAATAATTTGTATTCATGTTATTTCCCACATAACATATTATGTTAATATTACCCGAACCTTCTGCCTGTAAATTTGTACCATCGCCAATCCTTATTTCCACTGGCGACCTGAATTTTTTATAGTTCACAAACCACTCTCTGTTGCTTGTCATGTGTTCAGTAGCTCCTGAATCCAAATACCATTGATTCTCTTTGCGATCAGTAACCAAAGATTCACTATAGAACGCTTGACCTGTTAAACTTGTACTTGGCGAATCTGATTTCGCCTCACCCTGATCCTTCTGGTACTTTTGATACTTCTTGCAGTCTTTCTTGAGATGACCTAGTTTCTTGCACCAAAAACAGGGACCTATCTTTTTAGTATTATTATTACTAAAATTACGTTCATTACCAACATTACCACCATTCTTCTTAAAAAATTTCTTTTGAAATCTTTTGACAGTCAAAGCATTGGATTCCTCTGCTTCAACTTCTGAACCTCCTTGAGACATTCTCGATTCTTCTATTAACAACCGAGATGTAAGTTCATTTAAATTTTTACTTGCTTGAGGTACACTGTCCCATGCACTGTAAAAATGTTTATAAGATGGCGGTAAAGTCATAAGAATTTTAGTTAGCAACATATTGTCAGAGATTTTCTCTCCCGATAGAGCGAGTTGGTTTTGAAGATTCTGTAGTTTACTGATATGCGTCGAAATGTCATCTGTAGGCTCTTTTACATAACTGAAAAATTTATTTTGTAATAAATGTATACCTGCTTCAGATTTTTGCTCGTAGATACTTAATAATTTGTTCCACATATCATATGCTGTACTACAATTTAGCAAATATTGTAACGGTCCATTTTCCAATGACGTGACGATTAATCTTTGACATTTACTATCAGCCCTTGACCACGCTATTCGTTCTAACTGAAACCTTTTCTTGGCATCCTCTTCTTTCTCGGAGGTTGCTATTGTATATACTGGCTTTTTATAATCTCCTGTAATTATACCGTTTATCTCAAATGAATTAATTATTACCTTCATTTGAAATTTCCAAAGTGTCCAGCCTTCCGAGTTACTCAGCTTTGTAATCTTCAGTGACTCGTCCATAGTTAAAAGATAACGTACTTAAAAATAGTACTTACTGAACAATTGGAATAAGTGAATTTTAACTACATAAAATACTTAGCCTTCTGATGCTTCACTGTTGTGCCTGAGACTATGTGTCTGGGCCAATAACCTATTGCGATATACGCCTGTATATCTTGGTGGAAGTTAGTATTTAAGTAGAAAATAAAACACAACAATAATATGTTTAACACAATACTATTAAATATAAAAAACACACACAGTATAGAGATAATATATATATATATACAACGTACGTTTCAATTATAACAGCAGCCGTAATAGAATGGTAAATCCAACACCTTAATACTATGTCTTATATACTATACAATCTAGGTTACAGACGTAATTGGTCCTTGTATAAACAACTTAAATATTACTCATGGTTTCTTCAGTGTACACTTATAATACCATATAAGGTTATATAATATTTATTACTTATCCATGACCCAAATAAACAATATTAATTATATTCAATAAAATGTTCCCATGATACAGTACATACAAATTTAATGTAAATTAGTGACGCCGGCAACCTTTCCAAAAGTGAAAAAAAAAATGTCTATATTTACAAACTATAACAACACAACATATCTCTAATTCTTGGTAAAATTTAAGTCGGAAAACAATATTATGTTTTGCTACTTTAATAAATATGTAACATTACAATATACAATTTATGACATAAATAATATTATTGATAATCTAAAATATAGGGTGTACACGGTTTTTTAAATTTCTATACAAATATTTTCTAAATATAATACCTAGTAAATTTTGATAAAATATAAAGTGCAATTAAAAAATTTGATAAAAGATATTTGATCGCCCCAATTTTTATTATTATTTAATATAATACAACAATAGCGTGTCTAGTAAGATCAGGCGCTTAAATGAAAAAAAAAAAAACGCTTGAACCGACACTACAGAGGAACATGAAAAATAATTTAATTAATTAATATGAATAAATAATATTAGTATTAACAACAAATCGATTCACATGAATGATTTTCAGATATATCTGCGTCAATGGTAGTTTCGGACTCTTTGCAGAGTCCATCTTCAGGGTAATGTCACAACTGTTTCGCTGCCGTGACTGTACAGCGGAATAGTCGTGACATAATGAGTCGGAAACGTCGGTAAACAACTATTTACGCGGATATATCCGCAAATCATTCATGTGATATTTCAATCCGCGAAAGTTTCAACACATTACACATTCATAACAAATCATTGTCATTACGAAGCCACTCTGACAATTATGTACAACTAAGGGGGTTATTATTAAAAACATTAAATACAAAAACGTATTGTTATTGGGTGAGAGAATTATTTGGTTGCAACAGCTGTCGACTGTTTGTTCGGATTCACTGCGGCTGTTCTCTTTGCTAGTTCCCTCTTGCGTTTCCTGATCTTCTTTCTCCTGCGATCCAGCACTACAATGCGTGCTTTGTCCGTGGTGTAATCTTTTTGAAGTTTGTTGATTTTATACAAAAAAATCACTGCTTGACGTTGAGCCGAATCCATCTCTGGTGCTAAAATAGAAAAAAAAAACGTCAACATTAATATCGTAACAAACGGTATGTCACGGTTAGGTATAATCAGCGATAATTATTTTAAGTTATACTTACTGAACGTAACCAGCGGTTTACCATCTTTAGTAGGAATTGTTATTTTGCTATGATTGTACCGTTTGCTTTCGGGTTCTAAACAAATTAACCTTAGACGAACTTGGTTCGTACAAACCGCTACCGCCTCAGTTTTGGAAGGCGATTTGGACTCGTAGAAATGATGTTCGCGATCGGGTTGCTGTTAAGGTTGATGGCGCATGGCGTTGAAAAACCCTTTGCTCGTGCTAGGCTTGTGTATGTCGCAATCAACGTTTGGATTCTTCACCCCGTTTCTTCAGCAACGACGACAGTTTTTTGTCATCAACGATTCTTCTCTTCTTGAGCTGGATCTGCTCGTCTTCGGACGACAGCGTTGACGACAACGAATGGTAATACTGAATAAAAACAAGAATAAAATGTATTCGATTATTAATTTGGCAAAACATCACGAACTATCTGTGTACAACTATCAATTACAGATTAGTAATCATATTGTTCATGAATAAAAAAAAAAAATTAAGACAAAAAGTGTTTGATGGCATTTTTTGAATTATTCTATTAATTCTTTGTGAATCCCTGAATTATTTATGGATAATTCATTATATTCAAACATAAAATTAAAGCCACCCAATACTTAAACAAGTTTATTGCTTTTTCAGATATCTCCATAACAATAAAATACCTAGTTAGTTTGAACATTTAGTGAGTTGAAATTACTGAACAATATAAAAGGAATTTGACTAGTCATTAAAAAAAAACCCCAGAAACAGCTCGATTATAATATATATATACATATAAATACACACATTATTAACAAAAGTATTTTAATAGCTCACCATTGGTAGTTCCTCTTCGATTTTTGGTTTGGCTGTAATTTGGTTAGCAGAAGCTTCTCTTTGGATTTTTTAAATAATGGCGTTTTTCCTCAATCATTTTCCTTTTTTTTTAAACAGTAGCTTCTTTAAATTCCTTTTTAACCTTGCTGTCCTTAGGAAGATCTTTTGATTCAGCCAGTACAGAGTCACTTTTAACAGTAGATTTGTTTCGAGCACTATTACCAGAACAAGTAATTGTTTCTTCTATTTTCGTTTTACTTGGCTTTTTAGTCACAGACTCAGTAGCCATTTCCTTTTCTTTCAAAACGATTTCAGACTTTTCTTTTTTTCTGTCAACTTTGTGTGGAATTTCAATGTTGTTCTTTAATGTTGCTGCCACCTTCTCTTCTACCCTTACGGTTTTCAAAGGCTTTTTTTCAGACAAACGGTTCCGTTTTCTTTCCGATTGTTTCAGGCCTGTATTTTTTCTTATCTACTTTCTTAGCAACATGTTTATCACTACTCTTCATAGTTAAAGCAACCTTGTCTTCGACTTTTAAAGTTTTGGAAGGTTTTTTTGGTGTCACCGGTTCTTTGACAATATCGGCTTCCTTTATGAAAGTTTCTATTTTTTCTTTTTATTCCTTAGGTTCTAATTTAATGGCAATAGTCGTTTGCCTGTTCTTATCAAAACTGCTAGAGGGTAACGCTTTATCCACATCATGAATGATACTGCGACTAAATCTGCTTCCAGATCTCACTCCTCTAAGATGACTTATCATCAAGCAGCCGAGTTTTTGGTAGAAATCTTCAATACTATGTAGATACCTAGTACAAACAAAGTACTTATTATCATTCGCTGTTCATCAAATTAATTTCACATACATCATAACTCGTATTGTAATAATTTTTAAGTATAAATTCAAAGTGCATTAATTTTTTCGGTTTTATAAAAACATTTATAAATTATTAATTGATTTTTTCCAAACAGGATGTTATATTATTGTTTTTAAGTTTACAAGGGTAGTTCTTTTTTTAATAAAGTTACACGTTTATTACAATATTGTTTATTTGTTCGTGGTATACTAGCGATATTTAATATTACAAACATACACTTACTGTAGGTAATATTGTTTGACAGAAGAAACACGGTTTGTGGCCAATCCTTTGTGCCAGTTATCCACTGTTAACATTTACTGACTTTGTTAAAACCGCCCAAGTTAATGACAACCTAAAACATAATAAAACACTAAGAATACGACAACTGAATTCTATATTTTATATACACATAACACATCATTGTTACAATTTCTGTACAAATAGTTATTTAAATATATTTAAAACTTAAGTATCCCGTTAAAGATAATTTATTTGTCCATAAATATATCAACTATTTTAATACTAGTATAAATCGAATTTAATAATTTCATTTAGTTTAGTAATTTAAAAAATGTTTGAATAATTTGCATACATCTTCGGACTGACAATCCGTTCCGGACAGCGAATTCATCTAGAAACAATCTCATGATGGCAGAGTTAGACCTTCAAGACCCGTTAAGCCACATCATGATATTATAATAAACATTGCATAAGATTCATCAATCAATATCAATCTATCATGTATAACTTAATAACACACCAAAAGCAATTCAAACATATATTTTCTTCGAATCTATTTTGAAAATTGTGTCAACATAATAAAACACTGTATCAGTTAGTTTTATTAACAGCTACTGTACTGACAATCATTAAACACCCAATTGAATGTTCAATAGATTCTCTTTACGCTAACGTGTACTTTAAGCTAAATTAAATATCGATTAAATACCTTGAACAGTTTGTACATATCAACATTTTTGTCGTTAATCATGGGTGCTTGGTTTTTATAGGTGTCCCTCGGACATCCATAACATTGAATAATAGTGCCCAAAAGGGTCTTCAATAGATTCTTAATTGGAGTTCTAAGAAATGTTGATAATTTTATTGTAAACAGATAAAGGATAAAAATAAATCTGTAGCATTATAACAGAACATGATAAGTCAAAGCGGAATTATCTGTAAAAGCGGTTCAGTTATTTGACTAACAATGTTAACAAAGATGGAAAATTATATTGCAAACGTGGCAAAAAAAGAATTACCTAAAATTTATAAAGAAAACTAACTAACTTCTGCCTTAATTACCAAACAGAAATGTATTAAATTTTAATTTTTTACATCAATATTATAACGCCTTCACTGTCATGACACAGTTTTTTTCGAGTCCAAACAGTAAGTCACGGTCCTAATGTGGCCGAAGTTCATCTTTGTCCAGATATAAAATCGCTTTTTCAACAGCTATAGAAATTTGAATTGTATTAACGAAAAGATATTTATAAAAATAAAATAACAATGCTATAATTATAATAAATACCCGTTTTTAAAGTAGGATTTTCTACTTTGGGGGCTATTTCTTTTGTAAATTCTGTAATTTCTTTTTTCAAAACTGTACAGCTGCAAATGGAAGTGTTGTTATGGTTAATTTATAAAAATAAACACATTAATAGGTTATTAAATTCAATTAGTATTATTTCATCAACTCACTATTTTCCATCTTTAAAAGAACGAACCAAGTAGTCTTCCAAAACGTTTGTTTTGACTGCAAATTGTGCAGTAGGCGCTAGCACTAACCCGGGAAACCAATTGTCTCTGACTTTTTTTTTGTTATTGAACTCTATGCACACCATGTTACCAATGTCTTTTTCTTCCATTTCTAAAATGTCTTCCTCTCCACTTTCCCTGTAAAAAATCAATCAAAATAAGATTATTCACACTACATAAAACCTTTTGTTAAAACTTAAAATCATTGAATACAATACCTAACTATTGAAATATAAAAAAGAGCATCAATTGTTTAAACAATTAAGATTATTTAACAGCTAAACTAAGTTTATTTAAATTATTTAGTATACAGTTAAGAATTAAGTAAAAATAAATTGTACAAAGATTTTTTTGATAAAAAATAAATATTGAATACATTTAAAAGTCTAAAATATCAAAAATAATAACTAATAAAATAATAAAACTCTTAGAAATTTGTCGTACCAACAGTGTTTTGACAATAGTCCTGTATTTTTTGAATTGTTCCTTCTTATAACTCTTTCTTTTCATTACATTTGCACCAATCTACAAAAAAAGAAACGCATGTTTTCTTGATCATACTAAATTTTGATTTAGCACATATTGCTAAAACACAAAACCTGTATATGTATATATATATATATATAACATAAACTAACCTTGCATTTTACTGATTTTGAGATTTTCCTGATCTTTGCATCACAAAATGCTCCTTTATACTAGGCACTGACCTCAGTACCGACAGCAAGAAGTGGAGGTTCGACCAAATTCACCTAATCACATAAAAACAATATTAGACTACATCAAAAAATAAGTTTGTAAGAGTTAAACAATTGCATTAAAAAAAAAAAAACTATAATGCTTTCCAATTAGAATATTTATAATTATATAAAAATATAACAATAGCATGCATTGAAAAGTTTGCTGGACTTAAAATATAGATTGTGAAGCCTAAATAAAATAGTGTACCTTGATGTTTTTAATAAAAATGTCAAATTATGTGTTCACATTACTATTTTACCTTAGAGTAAATAAAAAAAATGAAAATAGTTTACTAAAAGTATGTGTTCACACTTAACGTAACAATATAATCCAATAAGATATTTTTACATAATTATATTTAAACTGTTCAGTATCAAAAACACGTACATATATTTATAATTTGTAAATAGCGTATTAAGGAAATTAATTATAAACTATACACCATTGTGTTAAGATAAAAAAAAATTCACAGTCACAATTATAAGTATTGTATGACTTAAAACAATTAATACATTAACATGACAGTTGTGTGTTAGATTTCATTAAAATGTAAAGAAGAAACTCACAATTATCCATTAAACAATTATTGAGGTGTTACACCAATAGAATAATGTAAAAAATTAGTTTTTTGTACATAAATAATAAAATGGAAATAATAAGGGTGCAAATCTTTGGTTGACAAATAGTACTCAAATTATATAGTATTTCTCAGAATTATACTCCGGTCGAATAATATCCCTAGTCTTAATCAATTGCTTTCAAAAACCTGAGTACCTTGCGGTCGAGTGAGTATTCCCAAAGAAAGATTTCCGAATGACCATTTATACAGTTTAAATAGTGGTAGATTATCATTATTACATTAGGAGATTATCTTTTTACAGTGGTAGGTGATTTTGTGAGGAAGGAAAGTAATGCTAATGGTCATTATCATAATTTGATATCTGCTTGCCAACTACATAGAACCTAGAGACCACCACTGAAAAACCCCAACCATTTATAAATATTGATATTATTGTACATCAATAACCATTTTAAATGAACAAGAACCAAAATATAAACAAATATTGTTTGCAAAAAAAGCAATTGAATTTAATGTTAGAAATCTCCAACTACAATACTAGGATATTATAAAATTACCGTTATATTATGGGTTTTCAATATTGTAAGTAGTTAAGGGTTAGTTTAAATTATTCCTATTATTATCTGTTTGAATACTTATTTAACGGTTTGGCATAAACTTCCTGCAATACCTTTTTAAATTAATTAACTTTCAACAATAAATACTAACCATGATGATTTTTGTGTTTGTTTTCGTGCACAATATTATTACTAATTTACAGTCGCGTCCGTTAAATCAAATTATAATGTATATTGAATGTGATTTTGATCTGTAAAAAAACAAAAATTCAAAGTTTATTTATGGTTATATAATAATGTTATTATTTATAATGATTGAATTTATGAAACTTCTATAAATTTCAAGTAATGTCAAGTAGGTATCAAATTATCACATATTATATGCACATTATAATCATTCATAATATCATACAACTAAAGCTCGAGTTGATTTTGATAAAAAATGGTGGCTTCTTGGTATTTCTAATACAGTTTGTACATATTTAATAATATGGTTTATAACTTCTAGGTAAACTTTAGTGTAAAATACAATATAAATGTGTAAGACATATTATATAGTGTGCAGTTGTTTATCTGTAATTGGGTTAACTACTAACAAACTTAGTAACTACAAAGGGAAACACGACAAAAGGTCGCCCGACAAAACGTCGCCGGACAAAAAATCGACAAAACGTCGCCGGATAAAAAATCGACAAAACGCCGCCGGACAAAACGCCGCCCTAAAAAAACCGCCTCTCAGTAGTGCCAACACTAACAATACTTGTATACAATATACGATTATTAATGGTGTTAGTTGTGCTGCCAGCATGACATATTATTAAGGAGTAATTATTAGCTAACGACTCAAACGAGGCTGTTTTTAAAAAATATTTCCAGATGGCATTTTGAAAGAGACAAAAAGTCCGAACGTATATTTTTTACCACCAAAAAAACGATATTTTATTATCTCTAGAAAACTGTTTACCTATTATTGAACTGTTATCTTTGTTTATTTTATAAATGCGTGTAGGTATCACCTATAATCTATATATTTTTTAGTACATATTGCTAAGTGTATAGGTACAAAATGGAAGTTAATGTTTTAAAGTTGCCGCGCTGGTTGAATTACCTGCCAAATATACCTTCTTAGGGACGAAAGTATACACAGCCCTGTTTTACTTCGTATATTTGTTATTCTTTATTAGTATTAAGTAAAATTATATTATTATTTATTAAAAAATGGTCTTAACAATGGCGGTTCTAAAAAAAAATATGAAATAACATTTAACCACTTTTTGTATCCATTGCATTTTTTTTATAAATATATTCATTTAAAAGTATTCCCATTTTTGCGTATATATTAGTTTTAAAATTTTAACATAAGAACATTGAGAAAATTAACAAGTAAGGGGAAAAAAAAATGACTAATTAGTTCTTGTGCGTGTACATTTTGTTTTTGTTAAGTCAGTCGGCCGAATGGACTTGGGAACAATGACTTCGCTACACCCTTGGCCAGAAATTAAGTTAATTTGTTGTGTGTGAATTTTATTTTGTATTTGTTTAGTTAACTGTTTGTTGCACCGGTGAGGCAATTCTAGTTTAATTACTAATGATAACCGAAAAAGGAACTTTTTTAAATTATTAAAGTTTTCAAATTATCAACATTATACATACATTACACATTTGACACTACAGTAACTCTTTGGTATTACTAGGCAACCCCATTCATCCCTTTTGAGCTACTATATACACAAAAATTTAAGTAGGTATGTATGTTGTACATAGTATACAGAACGTGCAAAGAAGTACCCAAAAATGATTGGTGTTTGTTTGAATAAAAGTTTAATATTGTTATTAGGCAGCGCAGCATTTTTATTTTATTTAATAGATAAATCAACAAATTATTTTTGAAATAATAATATGTAGAGTTTAGAAATTAAGCCCTCGAAAATATTTGTTTGTAGTGATGAGTTTTTAATATTCAGTTGTCACTGGGTGTTAGGTACATTCTGTATAACTTATCTTCTTATAAACAAAACAAAAATTTAAAGCCACCGCTGACTGAGGCGTCCAATCGAATGGACAACAGAAGGGTTATGGGGTGGCGAAGGAAGGTGTTTGTTTTGACTAGAAACCTAATAAATTTCCAAAAATAGTCTGTAACCGTTGCGAATTTAATACATACAGAAATAATGGGATATTGACGATTTATAATATTATTGAAAATAATTTTCGTTTAAGTATTTCAATGTACACCGATAATTTTCTTAAAAAAAAACTCTATCATTAACATTTAAAGCGACGGAATTCCGTCTTTTTACATTATACATTTAATCTTGTAAGCAATATGTCTGTCATTCTTTGATTATTCTGAGGATGTCCCCGGCGGGTATAGGTTGTCCAAGAAAAAATCCGAATTTCAGTTATTTGGACATAATAATGTCCGTAACCAATGGTTGTCCAAAGTACATCCCATTCTATGCCTACATATTTTATTTGTGGTTTACTACTATATATCCATATCATGACAATATGACACCAAATACCAGTGCCCCCACAAGCGAAGGTATCAGAGAGGTCTGGGGCCCTTATGTACAGGCCGTATTGGCGCATAGGCACTGTGCCTAGGGCCTATGAAAATGTGTGGCTACT